ACAACATCTGGGAAGCGTGGTGCTTCCGTCCCCGAACTGTCCCATCCATGCGATAAGGCGCATCAAGTTGAACCACCTACCGAGGTGGTTCATCTCCTTGGTGCGCCTCAACCCGGAAGTCTGATCGCCGGCGCGTCCTTGCGCCGGCGCATCCCGGGCTCCCAGCCGAACTGCGCATGCTCCAACATGCGCAGTTTGGCTGGCCTGCCGTCAGCTCTGTGTTTACTCCCCGGCGTCTGATCGTGCCGGGGAGAAACGGCGGCGCGCCCGGGGGATCTGTGGGATCCCACCGCGCCGTGTCAACGTTGGCGCGGCTTTTAAAAGCCGCGCCTTCAAGCGCCTTTTCCCATACCGTATGGCAGGGGCCATAGCTTCTTGGAAGTACTGCCCTGCCCCTAACAATCAGAATGAGGCAGTGCTGGCCCCTCTCCTGGTCCTCCACTGTGGACATAATGCTGATGGCCCCTCTCCTGGGCAGAGAAACCATATGGGACAGGAGCAAAACCACGAGGCAAGAGGGCAACTTGGGGCAGCACAGGGCCTTGAATACCCTCTTGGCCACCCCCACCCCTCTGCCTACTAAAAAGGTGATGGAGAGACCATTCTTACCTGCAATTTTACCACTGACTGGAGCTGGTGTTATCACAGGAAAAGAGCAGACGTTTGCACCATAATTTGTACTACAGTCTCGGTGTGAAAGATTAATTGCTCCAGGAGCATAGAAGGTGTTGACAGGAGATCTAGATTGTTCTGCATTGCCTGGATGTCCCATTGTGACAAAAAAATGTTCTGTAGGCAGTGGATGGCCATCTGCTGGGTGTCCTTCTAACCTGCCCTTCATGCCTGTGAGGAGATCAGAAGAACATAAGAACATAAGAGATGCCAATGTTGGATCAGGCCAAAGGCCCATCCAGTCCAACACTCTGTATCACACAGTGGCCAGAAATACCAGTGCCATCAGGAGGTCCACCAGTGGGGCCAGGACATCTAATATATTATCAATCAATTGAATGCCCTGAAAATAAGTAAAACCAGGATTCAAACTAACCATAGACTCATGCAGTGCAAACCATGCATAATTGCCATCAGTTACATCCTGTAGATCCATTCCACTAACAGCAGCTCTTTCCACCAACACAAGGACCTTCCACTGAGGCAAAACGATCAGCGGTGTGAGGTAAAAAAATTTTTGAAATGCTTTTCCATGAAAAATGATTCATTTCTACAGATTTATTGTTTTCATAAAATGAATGCCATTGCCCATTCACTATCAGGCAAGCTTGGCAATTTCAGAGTTGTAATTAATGTTTTTCAGGTGTTTATGCCTGGGCAGTTTGTGAAAAAGTATATGTGGCTGCGGTCACATGGAACAGAAGGCACACAAGTGAGACGGAAAACAGGCGGAGTTTCCAGGCGCGATCTCACCAGCACATCTGGGAAGCGTAGCACTCCCGTGGCCCAACCGAGGCTTCCAGCCGAAACTGCGTGGCAAAAAACTAGTACCTCAGAGGTACTAGTTTCCGGAAACTGCGGGGCAAGGGCGGGCGTCTGATCGCGTTTCCGGTAGCATCCGGCGCCCGCCCATGTCCCCTTGCAAATAAGGTGGGGTTTTTTTGTCCAAGTCTCTGTGGATGCGCACGCGCACCCAACGGAGCATGCGCATTTGTCATGTACACACAAAAACAAAAGTTTGCCGCGGCGCGCGCTTCTTCATTGCACACCGGCTTCTCCTGTGATCGGCACCTCTCCCTTGCCATGGAACCTCCACGGTACCTCCACAGGACCTCCACAGGAGGTCTGATCGCGTAACTGCGCAGTAGTTTGCCCCAGGGCAAACAGCCACGCTTCTCCCCCGCAGTTTCCTGCCCGTGTGACCGGGGCCGTATGGCTTATTGGTTTGTAAAATGAGAGGGGAGAATAAAACCACAAATACATATAATAATCCAGACAAAAATAAAGTTATGAATTCACCTGATTGTGCAGGTCAAGTCAAAACCAAAGTGGAAATTCTTATTTATGCATTTCCTGCCATGTGGTAGAAGGGATATTGTAATCGCTGTAGAATTAAGTGATGAGGTGCTTCAGTGACCTCTACAGAAGATATTTAAATTCTGCTGAAACAGATGAATGGACAGCCATTTCCACAGCACATTGTGCTATGTGGCCATGCTAAATTTAGAGTGTTAACCCTAACTGATGGAATAGCCAACAGATGGCTGCCTGATGATTGTAGCTGGTACACAAGGACATATGGAAGGAGACAGTCCTTTAAATATGTGGGTCCCAGGTTGTGAAGGGCTTTAAATGTCATAATCAGCACCTTGAATCGAACTCAGAAACAGACTGAAAGCCAATGTAGGTGTCTCAAAATGAGCAACATATGTTCCTGACGGTTAGCTCATGACAAGAGTCAGGCTGCTGCATTCTGGACCAGTTGCAGTTTCTGAGCTGTCTTCAAGAGCAGCCCCACACAGCATGTGTTGCAGTAATCCAACTGTGAGGTTACAGAAGCATGGATCAGAGTGGCCAGCTGAGTCTTGATATGAGAGAGTTAGCAAATCAGATGCAGCTGATAGAAAACACTCCTGGCCACCATTCCAGCCTGCTTTTCAAAAGCCAGGCAGAGTCCATGAGCAACCCCAAGCTCTTGGAAAAGGCAACGTCACTCCACCTAAGACAAGTGAACTCAGTTTCTCCACAATATTAGCCTTCCCAACCAGCATTACTTCTGCCTTGTCTGGATTCACCTTCTGCCTTAGCCACTGACCACAGCCTCAAAGTACCAGTTCAGAACCAAGAAAGGTGCATCTGGAGATTTGGATAATGAAATATAGAGCTGGGTGTCATCTCCATATTGATGACATCCACCTCCAAAGCCCTGGATAATCTCATTCAGCAGCCTCACTATATTAAAGCGCATGGGTGAGAGGACAGATCCCTGTGGCATTCCACAGCACAAATTCCACCCACTGGTTAAAAGACAATGTATTTGAAGATAGTTTAAATCATGCTTGGTTTATTTTCTTCCTAATCAAATATTTCAGTTCAAGTATTTGTTGCTATTGGGTCATAAAGTTAACATGGGGTTCTTCATAGATCAAACTTAAGCAAAATAAAGTAAATATAAGTAAAAAATAAAGATGCTAAATCAAATAATGTTCTATTTAGGGCATCAGAAAATTTTCCTATTCAGTTTTTCCCCAGAAAGGCCACACCACTTCCATGATGCCACAGCACTCACCTTCTGAGGCACTCTGGGTCTGTGTATGGCCTGCATCCCTAAAGGAAGAGTTAAAGAAAGGGCTACAAACAAGTGCTCTTCTCTGGGTCTTAATATATTGGAGTAACTCATACAAAACATCTCCTGTGGGGGAAAAAACAAAGATATACCAATTCTAAGTAACAGATATCTTTAAAAACTAGTATTAACTGTCTTTAGCCTCTAACAGATGTGTGGACAATCCACCCCCATTTGTGATGTTATTTTATTTTGAAAGACATTCTCATCAACTTCTCACTCCAGTAGGGCTGAATTCAATCACAAACTTCCAACTGGTGCACATTCCCTGTTCAGAAGTTCCATTCCCTGATTTCATATATGAGGGAAACTGAAACCAGCACTTTACGCCCCAGGATGCATTCAGGGTAGATTTAGTCATGCCCATGATATTCTCATTTATGATCCCATCTAAGAATCATCAGAGGATGTTGAGAAGAATTTTTTTTCTTGGCAGATGGAGAACTGTAAGTATTGAAGGACCCCGTGATCTTTGGAAAGCTCTCTAGATGTTCCTGCAGTTGTGCAGGTCCTAATGCATTCGTTTTTCAGCCTTCCTCAGGCACCTCAATCAGCAATAACTTTTCAGTTCGGCCACCTGGTGATGGTCCCTCAAAACTACTTTGTCAGCAACCAGTCAATCTTGGTTTAATGGCCACTGCTATTCAGAAATCCTATTCAATGTATTCCAGCAGTCATTCAAAAGAATCTAGTGCATTCCAATGGCTAGTTGGTGTCTTTTTAGCATGTCTTTGTGTTCAACTAGATTTATGGTGCTTTCCCCCCATAACCATGTAGGAAATGGTATGTGCAGAAATATGTTCTCTCCCCAACCCTCAAACCCAGGAAATGTTAGTCCATAATCTAATACCAAGTGCAGGGAAGAGAGTACATGCAACATAACCACATAGAACAGCTAAATGGTAATCTACTAATCTACAGCTCTTTGTGCCACCTCCTCTGTTTGCCACCTCCTCTGTTATCTATCTAATTTAGTGGTTTTCTTTACAAAATTGCCCTTTTGGAGCTAGGAAATGTTGCCTGAGGTAGAAACGTAACAGAATGTGCCACTGTAGGAAAAATTCTTTTAAAACATACCATTGGTTTAAAATGCGGCCACTGGGTTGGTTGGTTACAGGGACTGTATCACCCCTGTGCTGAAAAATCTCCACTGGTTACCCTTCTATTTCCAGGCACAATTCAAACCTGGTTCTTACCTTAGAGGTCCTAAATGGCTTATTGGCCAGAGTAGAAGGACTATTTCCTCCCAGCCTATCCAGCCTAACAGCTAAGCTCTGCCTCTCAAGTTCTGCTCAGAGACAAGGCAGATGGCAACTAGAGATAGGTAATTTTCTGTGGTGGCACCTTGCCAGGCTTCCCAAGTACTTACCGTGATTCGGCGGGGGACGAAGACGTCTTCGCAGGATCATTCCTGTGGGGACAACAGACGTGCCGCACCATGCCATCACCAGGAAGTGACGCCGGGCGACGCTCTGGCAATGGGGCCAGAAACTCGATGGTACCATCGAGTTTTCAGCCCCATTGCCAGAGCGTCGCCCAGTGTCATTTCCTGGTGACAGCATGGTGCGTTACAAGGAGAAATGTTCCGCCCGGGGGATATGTGTCCCCCGCCGGATTACGGTAAGTACTTGGCAACCCTACACCTTGCCTCTGGAATGCCATTCCCCTGGATGCTCACCTGGTGCCTATTTTACTTTCTTTCAGGAGCAAAGCTAAAATACACCTTTTTTTACCAGGCCTGACTTGTATAGCCCAACTGTATGCATGCTTGGTGGGTAGAAAGTGCTGTCAAGTTGCAGCCAACTTACAGCAACCCCAAAGGGTTTTCAAGGCAAGAGATGAACAGGGAAGGTTTGCCACTACCTGCCTTTGCATAGTGACCACGGACTTCTTTGCCAGTCTCCCATCCAAATACCAGTGCCAATCCTGCTTACCTTCTGAGATCTGACGAGATCAAGCTGGCCTGGGCGATCCAGATCAGGGGTATGCAGGTTTACTTGGGGCAAATCCCACTTCATTCAGTGGGGATTACTCCGAAGTAAGTGTGTACAGGATTGCAAGTTAAGGGATTAATTCACCTTTACCTAAGGCAGTTACACCATTATAATTTAACCTCACAACTAGGTGGTTACAGAAACAAATGAAAGAACAGTACTACGCCAACACACTCTGACTGTTAGACTGAAATCCAGACTTGGAAATGCACTTTTTACAGTTCTCTTCCCTTGTAAGAAATCCAGCTGTGAAAAGGGCCTCTACACCTAGTTGAGGAACTAGCAGCAGCATCTCTAACCTGAATTAGGAGCCCGGAATCTGAAATCTTCTTTGGTGAGAATGCAAAGAGCTTTTCCGTTCATTTCAAATTTACTTCCATCTGTTTCCCTGAGTGAATATTCCTTTTCTGCCCATCTTAACCAGTGAATCACATCATCCTTGCTCCATAGCGAGGGCTGGATTCCTGAAACAAAGCACGTGAAATTTAAATTAAAATAAGGAGACAACCCCTTTGGTGCAGGAAGAGCACAGAAAGCAAAATATATGACAGCAAGGAGATAATTTTCATGAGCCCAGGTTATGATGTTTATATCTCATACTTTACACATACACACCCAGGCCCAATTATATTCTTGACAAGTAGTTTTAAAAAGACAATTCCCATTCCCTGTGCAAGGAATGCTGACTTTTCTTTTATTATCTATCTACCATCTACCCCATTATGAAGGCAACATACATCAAACCCCTGCCCAACTGGGGGGGGGGGGGAAGGCCTGAGTGCATTTCACTGCATTTCCTTTAAAAAAGTGGGTCAGGGAACTGAAGCCCCACCCCAACCACTAGAAATCTTGCTCATCTCATCCAGCCACCCCCCGCCCAAGCTCTTGCTTCTGAAATTTCACCAGGCACTGCCTTCCTACTATACTTTTCCAAAACCATATTTGCAATAATAAGAGCTACAAAGAAAAGTGTAGTTTTTGTAAATGAAAGATGAGCGTATTCACAATGTTGACCTAAACTTTTGATCAGTCAGCTGGGCAGCGTACAACAGATTAGGAACGTGGCTTCAGACTAAACGCTCTTGGTTCATCTCCTGCGGTGGAACAGCTAAGACAGAAACAAAAGGTACTGGCAGGGGGCTGGCATTAAAGTCTCTCCCCAGCCTTCTAGAGTTCCTGCTGCTTTCCTTCCAGGGGCTGTTATAAACCCACTGGAAAGCATATAGTCAGGCAGCCCAGGCTGCCAGCGTGGTGTAGTGTTTAGAGTGTCCGACTAGGGTGTGGGAGATCCAGGCTTGAATCCCCACTCTGCCACAGAAGCTCACTTGATGACCTTGGGCTAGTCACTCACTCTCAGCTTGCCTACCACACAAGATGATTGTGAGGATAAAATGGAGAAGGGGGGAAATGCTGTAAGCCACTTTGGGTTCCCATTAAGGAAAAAAACTATTTATTAATTGATTATTTTATTTACTTCATTTAAGTGTTGTCTTTCCCCCTGTACAGGATAACCCACCCACGCCTGTCCAGGGGTGAGAGGTAATCCCGTACTTTTGCAGTACATTAAACAACAACCCACAGAGGTAGGCTACCCTCTCTGGATTCAGAACAATATGCCACCAGAACCGCTACAATAATCCCCCTCCCAACCTGAGGTTCAAAATCTCAGTTGGCATCTAGGGCTTAACACTTTAGCAACTCATTCCCAGAGATGCACACTGAATGCTCTATGGTAGCTTGTGGTCAGTTAGGCACAGGAAACAGACTTGGAATCCCAGTTACAACATCAAAGACAGGTGAGAAATAAGAATAATTTTTTATTCAGTCCAGAGCATTGCAAGTAAACTATGAAAGATTTCAAAACAAGAAAGGCTAGGGCTGTTTGCCTTAACTACACAGTAAAAGATACATATTTACCAAGTTGAGGAATATCCAAACAGTCCAAGGGATTTTGAAGGCAAAATCCATCTTTGCTCAACCATGTGGTCCAATTCACAAAGCCAGTCCTTTGTCTCTTCAAAGGACAGCATTTCCAGGTGCAATAAACAAGCAGAGCAGAGACAGAACAGAGAGTCTCTCCCATAGGGAATGACCAGTTATAGGCCAATTCCAGTCACAAATTAGCCCTGGCCAGGAGCCAATTGTGAGTGGGAATGGGATGTGTCCATTGTTGGTTGCCATAGCTGCAACACAGGAATGGCTAGGAGTTTGGAGGCCCCTCCTGCAGTCAGGTGACCCCAAACTCCAGCTACTTCATCGGCTACGTGATTTCTTACATGTGAGGCAGAGGCAAGGGCCATCAGGTCTGCCTCTTCCACTTAGAGGTGTGAAAGAATGTGTGGTTATATGGCATGGTTATAAAGTTTCCCTGGCCAAATGGGAACAGGAAATAAGACACAGCATGTTAACAAAAGACATAACAGGAGAAGGCAGGAGGCTTTTAGAAATCAATAATTCTATACACCCCCCCCAGTGGGAACCCAAAGTGGCTTTCATTGTTCTCTTCTCCTCCATTTTATGGTATGTTGACAGCGGCCCTTTCTGCACCCGTATTTTGTCTTGGTTTCTGAGCGCATCCTATTCTTCCGTTCTGCATTCCCTCCCGCTTTCACTTCCAGTTTGTGTCGGGGCTTTCTCTTGTTTCTGCATTTGTCTTACAGGAAACTGCATTCAGACCGCTTCCAGAACACTGTTACCCCGTAGTTAGCAAAACTCCTTTTGCTATGGTTCTTTGTTCTCATCTGTTTTCAAATTGCTAATCCTTTCTAAAGTAGAATTGTTTCTGCAGGTACAATTGCCCTCCCCCATTTCCACCTCTCTCTCTAGGTTGACACTCCCTCCCTGTTTTCTTTCCGCTCCTTCTCTAAAGACAAAAGAGAACATGTCTTCCCACTCAGGCAAACTTTTAAAAAAACAGCGAGAACATAAGGAGGAATCAGTAAATATAAAGGACTAGGGGATTTCCCTTCCCTTTCTTTTTGCAGAATCACGGAGGGAGGGAGGGGCTGAGTTTGCAGTTAAAAGTTGTCAGAGATGTTTGCCTTTCTCTTCATTTTAGACAAAGCAGACAGTTAGCTCAAAAAATGTGGGTTTTGCTTGTAGACGCAGAATACATACAGAATACACAAATAAATAAACCAGGGGGGGGGAACCAGTGCAGAGGGAAAGCGTGTGACTGCAAAGTCAACCCTTAAGGCCTGACTCCTCGGACTATCCAGAGCAAGTTGTCAGTGCAGAAAGGGACACTATGTGACTGGCCTGAGGTCTTCTATGTCTTGTTCTTATGGTTTACTATACTACACGAAGAAATACATAAAATCAACAGATACATAATAGTGTGCACACATCAAAGAAATGATACTGAGGTTGGAAAAATTGGCAAAAATAGTTAGATATTCAAAGTTTGCAATGGATCTTTGCTTCACTGGAGAGGAAGCATTTTCTTCCATGTAAAAATTTTTAATTCTAAAGGGAAGGGTACACAGGAAATCTACAAAACAACAAAGACACCTAAGGACTACATCTTTACAGTTTGACCACGTGGTCTACAACAATGGAGATTCTTCTTCTTGACCCCTAGAAAGAAATCACCTGAATGCATTAACCAATGATTGTCAGTAAACAGGCTTCAGTTTTCCCAGCTTTCTTCCCATTGGCTCTGTGCCAGGTTCCCTTCCAGATCAGTCTAAACAATAACACACAAGGTAAACACACATTAACGCTATAATGACTGAATTTTAAACCTTGCGACACACATATTTCCAACACTAATTAGTACAGATCTGTGGCCCCTTAGATGGTCCCTCTTGTACTCACTGAGATGGCCCGGTAATGTGCAGATTTGCCTCTCATAGAGTGGCTGTAACACTGTCACAGATGTGGGCTGCAGATGCTGGGGCAAAATAGATGCTGTCACAGGACTTGAAGAACTGGCTGCCACTTCCCCCTTCAGAAAAAATAAAAAAGTTGAGCGAGAGACAGGGAGGGAGAGAAAGAGAGAGAGAGCGCGCAGTCTGGATTCCCAGTGTGCAAGAATTGAACATTTTTAGACACCATGGAGCTAATCAAGTAAGTATATAACTCTCTCACTGTAATTAATGGGACCTAAAATCCTGTGCCTGTTTAAAGGTAAGGTAAAGGTAAAGGTTACCTTGCTCGAAAGCCAGTCAAATCCAAGTCTAGGGTTGCAGTGCTCATCTCCGTTTCCAAGCCGAAGAGCCAGCGCTGTCCGAAGACATTTCCATGGTCATGTGGCCGGCATGACTAGACGCCAAGGCGCATCATCAGTAAATCTCACTATTTTAGCCTCCAGTATGAATTGTTTTAAATATTAATCTCCAGTATTGCTAATATAAGGACTGCTATGTTTTACCTCTCTGTTCTCAACCATTTATGAGACATGAGTGTTTCATTTGGTGATACAGCCTTTACTGAGAGCTACTTATAAAATAATAGCCTGCACTACTAAGGCCAAGCTGCCTGAAGTCTGCAGGACATTCTAAACCAGTGCAGACAAAGGCCCTCAACTGGTGAGCCAGTTTGGTGTAGTGGTTACTGGCATGGACTCTAATCTGGGAGAACCGGGTTTGATTTCCCTACTCCTCCACATGCAGCTGCTGGTGTGACCCTGGGTCAGTCGCAACTTATTTCAGAGCTGTTTTCTCAAGAGCAATTCTCGAAAGATCTTTCTCAGCCCCACCTACCTCACAGGGTGTCTGTTGTGGGGAGGGGAAGGGAAAGGGGATTGTAAACAACTCTGAGACTCCTTCGGGTAGTTAAGGGCGGGGTATAAATCCAATCTCTTGTTCTCTTCTTATGGTCTGCAGCATCTCCCCACAATGTTTTGTATTGTTTTGTTTGATCTTAATAAAAGCTATTACATGGCTTTGGGATTTGTCTTGGGACCAACATGCCTACCTGAAACCTCTATCTGAATGACACCTACTCCCAAATAAGCGTGCCTAGGAAATGTTTCTTTAATGTTCTTCATTTAAGCACCATTGTGCCCTAAAGGGTTATCCTGTGATAATGATGGCCTTGTAGCTCTTCAAAAATGGGCTGTTACACTCCACAAAGGTTTAAGGAAAAGTCAACCATACTTGGAAAGTGGGAAGTCCACAGTTAAATTTCAGATCTGTACAGTCATAATTTACTTAAATATTTATCTCTGCAGACAGACCTGGACTATTTGAGCGCTATCAAACTTATAATTCTGAGTGTGCACATATGTCACAATCTCAAATGCTTTGTGCTTAAGTAATAACACTGAAGCCAATGAAAATATTCCAAAGCAAACTGACTGTGTTTAAAAGATGGTTTGTGGGTAGGGGGCAGGAACTGCAAAGAGTTAGCGATTCAATTTAGGTTTGAATCAGATTGCCAGCCCTGCTTTGACAAAACACACAAAAAATGTTCCTGATTCATTCTCCACATATAGTTACAGAGAAAATAAAAGTGAAAGGTGGTCATACATACACATTTTCCTGTCACTTCAGATGTATTTTGCTGAAGTAGTTTAAAAATAACAATAATGGAGCATAATCTGTTTACTGGCACACACCAAAAAAACCCCCTCCTTATGATCAAAGAAAAGCAATGCAACACCATTTTTCCTTCTTTGCTACAGAGTATTAATCAGTAATTGTTTGACTAACAGTGGCAGCTGACTTATGGCGAACTATAGGGTTTTCAAGGCAAGAGACTAATAGAGGTGGTTTGCCATTGCCTTCCTCTATGTAGAGATCATGGAGTTCCTTTGTGATCCCATCTCAATACTAACCAGAGCATAGAATCATAGAATCACAGAGTTGGAAGGGACCATACAGGCCATCATACAGGCCATGTAGTCCAACCCCCTGCTCAATGCAGGATCAGCCTAGAGCATCCCTTACAAGTGTTTGTCCAGCCGCTGCTTAAAGACTGCCAGTGCGAGGGAACTCACCACCACCACGTCCCTAGCTAGCCGATTCCACTGTTGCACAACTCTTATTATAAAAAAGTTTTTCCTAAGATCCAGTCGGTATCTTCCTGCCCTTAATTTAAACCCATTATTGCCAGTCCTATCCTCCGCTGCTCCAAGATCCGACTAGATCAATCTAACCTGAGCCATCCAGGTCAGGCCAACTAAGACAGTATTCACCTGTAATTTGAATATAAAACCTGTACTATCCTGGGTGCCAGGTTGTTTCAAAACGGCTCTTCTCCACTTTCTAGTCTGCATTTACAAGTGATGCATTCCGGACACACAGGCATTCCTTTGTGTCACTTAAGCAAGCAAGATTGTGAAAAAACTTGCTAAAGTTTTTAAAGGGTGTTTTCACAAGACACACAAGGGTGCCTTCCCCCCCCTTGAATCCAAAGTATTCAAATACCTCCCCCTCCTCCCCACAAATATATTTTCTCCTTCCAAACACAACTCATTACAGCCCATTAGCAGCTGCTGCGTTATAACTTTCCTCCTTGTGAAAGGACTGTGGGGAATTCCAGAGTGTGTACATTCTGGAACAATTCACAACAGATCAGAGGTTTGCGTTTGCCAAGGAGACTATGGTTACAGTATCTGGCAAATAGGAGGAATCCATCTGGGGTCGCGCAAGAGGCAGTAGAGATTCAGACATACCTATGAGTTTGGGTTGTGGGGAGCGAGAGATAAAAGAAGAGAGCGAGGCTAGCGGGACTGCTGTTGGGAGCGTCTGAGTTAAGGACGACGTTTCACATGGAGACAGGACGGGTCGGCCTGAAGAGAAGCGCGCGGAGTGGGGGTGGGGGGGAGTACTGACAGCTCCAGGGACTCCAGTCCGACCAGTTCTTACCTGCATGACAGGTGGAGCCTCTGCTCCAAGAGGCTGGGATCTTATGGATGCCACGCACTCTTCCGCCCAAAGCCCCACCAGCCCCTTGCTCTGCTAGAGGGCAACCGCGGAGCAGCGAGGGCTCTGAGTCCGTCCTTCCGGGAAACGAAAACGAAACTAGCCGGATCCGAGCGGGGCAGGAGTTCGGACCGCAAAACAGCGACAACCGCAAGGGGATCGCCACTCTGCTGAGCCTGCCCGCCAGCTTCCGCCTCTTTTGCACGGAGAGTCTGGCAGAGGGCAGCGCGCGTCGAAATCAGCGCACGGCCAAGACGTTGCTGTTTTTCTTTAAGCCTGAAAAAAGATTCGAGTGCCAATTAAATGAATCCCCTTGTCCGAGGGAAAGCATTAACCAGCAAAGAGTCTGGTGGTATTTGAAAGATATCGAAGCCCACCAGAGGTTGGTGTGGGACAGAAAGCCCGATTCCTCGGATCCATCAGACGTGCTGATTTTCACAGGGATGGACTAAAAGGAAGGACAGGATTGCCCATTGGAAACAATGGGAGACGCTTGAAGGCTCATTGGAAAAATTGGGAGTCAGGAATGACAATTGACTTGCATGGGCTCCATTGAAATACAATACAGTACAAGTAGAGTTGCAATAAGAATGCGGAATGAATTTTCCATTAGGGTCTCAAGGCCCAAATACACTACTCTGGGGATGGAAGAGAGACCAGGGAGTGGAATGACAGCCCCAGGGTGGAGCAGGAGTGTTTAGGGACTGGGATTGTTAGATCCCCACTAACAAAGAACCGGAGAGTGATTTCAACAAAAGTGATCAGTTTTATTGTAGGTAGGAACAAGCACTTGAAAGAAGTCATAACCAGAACAACTTAACATTGGGAGCTAGGCTCCTTTTAAACATTCCCGGGTAGCCACGCCTATTTACAATAAACAACCAATGAGGTTGTGTGGATAAAGTCCAATGAAAGACCTTCCCTCCCAGGGAATTGGTATAGTTCTGATTGGTCGCTGTTGTGCAGCGAGCAATAGCAAGTTGGCTTGGAGGAGCCTTCGTCTGGCCGGAGCTTATCATGGAGAGTTAATGCAGCAATTCATGTAAGCCTTTTCGAATACACCACAGGGATGACGGGCATCAGAATGGACTGACAGCCAGAGGGTGTAGCTGGAGTGTTCAGGGACTTGAATGAGAGACCAGGGAGTGGAATGACAGCCCCTGGGGGTAGCAGGAGTGTTCAGGGACTGGAATGAGACACCATGGAGTGGAATGACAGCCCCAGGGTGTAGCAGGAGTATTCAGGGACTGGAATGAGAGACCACAGAGTGGAATGACAGCCCCAGGGTGTAGCAGGAGTGTTCAGGGACTGGAATGAGAGACCACGGAGTGGAATGACAGCCCCAGGGTGTAGCAGGAGTGTTCTTTGACTGGAATGAGAGACCACAGAGTAGTATGACAGCCCCAAGGTCAAGCAGGAGTGTTCAGGGATTGGAATGACAGGTCCCAGAGTGGAATGACAGCCCCATGGTGTAGCAGGAGTGTACAGGGACTGGAATGTGTTCAGGGACTGGAATGAGAGAGCACAGAGGGGACTGACAGCCCAAGGGTGTAGCAGGAGTGTTCTGTGACTGGAATTAGAGACCACAGAGTGGAATGACAGCCCCAAGGTCAAGCAGGAGTGTTCTTTGACTGGAATGAGAGACCACAGAGTGGAATGACAGCCCCATGGTGGAGCAGGAGTGTTCATGGACTGCAATGAAAGACCACGGAGTCTAATGACAGCCCCTGGGGGTAGCAGGAGTTTTCTGGGACTGGGATGAGAGACCACAGAGTGGAATGACAGCCCCAGGTGTAGCAGGAGTGTTCAGGGACTGGAATGAGAGACCACATAAGAACATAATAGACGCCAATGTTGGATCAGGCCAAAGGCCCATCCAGCCCAACACTCTGTGTCACGCAGTGGCCAAAAATACCAGGTGCCATCAGGAGGTCCCACCAGTGGGGCCAGGACAGTAGAAGCCCCCCCCACATGTTGTCCGCCCCCCCGAAGCACCAAGAAGACAGAGCATCACTTGCCCCA